AGAAATTTCAGGTGTTTTTGTTTGTTTATTTTTTTTAGTGGGATAAGGGTGTTCAGCAAAACAGACATGGATTGTTTTCTTGCTTCTTTGTAAGATGCCTTTTTCAAAAAAATCCCCATTCACTTTTTAATCACCACTGACAGGGCGCCGAGGAAAGAATGAGCGTTTGTGCAGGTTTTTGATCTTCTGCCTTCTCCACCTGGGCATTCCTCTCTGGTCTCTTACACTCACACCCCCCAGAACTGATTTATTAGGGGCTCTCTGGGCCCAGCGGGGTGAGCTGTGTGTCTAAGACTCTTTGTGGCTTATCTGGGAGGGATCAGAGTTCACAGGAAACACAGGCTTCCTCCGAGGTGCTGGCTGCGCTTTCAAAGGCGCGGAGGGAAGAAGCGGAGGTGGCCGCGATTTCCATCGCTGGCGGAGTGCCCATGGCAGGAACTTTCGTAGACACAGATGTCCCTGCAAACAAAAGCCTGGGGTGGGCCCTCGCTGGTTTGGCTCAGTGGATGGAGCGTCAGCCTGCGGATGGAAGGGTCCTGGGTTCGATTCCGGTCAAGGACATATGCCCAGGTTTCGGACTTGATCCCCAGTGGGGGGCGTGCAAGAGGCAGCCCATCAATGATTCTTTCTCATCATTGATGTTTCTATCTCTCTCTTCCTCTCTGAAATCAATAGGAACATATATATATATATATATATATATATATATATATATATATATTCATATTACAGTTAAAACATGGGTTTAGGCCTATATTCGCTGTATAAGACTACCCCCCACTTCAAAGAAAAGACTTACTTTGCCGTCAAGATCTGCAGGTAATTTTTGTGCAATTTTGGTCTTTTGCCCCCGATTTTCGGTTAACTTTTTTTCATTTTAAAAGTCATCTTATACGCCGGAAAATACGGTGTGTGTGTGTGTGTGTGTGTGTGTGTGTATACATATAGCCTTGGGCTAGAATTGCTGGTTCCTACAATGTCTCTTGGGAGGAAGAGTGACACACTGCTCGGCCCTCTGGGGTCGGAAAGAATATCTCCTTTGGGAGTAGACTCCACCTAGGAGCCAGGTAGTCACCGTGTTAGACATCAACTGTGGATGGTGGAGACCAAGGGCCCGGAAAAGACTCTGGCGGGGTGTACATTGGCAGCAGGCATGACCCGGCTGGAGGGAAGTTTTGGACAGGGGCAAACCCAGTTCCATGGCTGGAGATTGCCCAACCAACTGCCCCTGGCATCGGGGAACCTGAAATGGGTCTCTTCTACCTCCCCGTGTGGGCAAGCACCCAAGAAATGCCTCCATTTGATAGGGCAGGAGAGGGTGATACTAAAAGCGCCAGCCCTTTGGCCAGGTGGGTCTGGATTCCAGTCCTTGCTAGAGCACTTCTTGGCTGTGTGACTGAAGGCAAGTTACTGACCCTCTCTGGGCCTTAGTTTTCTTAGAAGTCATGTAGGTGTGAACATGGTACTTGTTTCAAAGGGTTGACGATGCCAATAGGTGAGACGCCATAGGCAAAGTGCTTGGTACATAGGGAACAGTCAACAGAGGATGGTTCTTCGTACCTTAGTGTTTCTTATTATCTTTGCTAAAGTATAAACCAGAGGAATATATTGGGGGGAAACCATGGGCATTGGATTCAGACCAACCAAGGAGCAGATTCTAGTCTCACAGGTGCTAGTTGCTTCCCTGAGCCTCAGTTTCTTCATCTGCAAGAAAGAGAATAGGATTGTGGGAAAGGTAAGTGAGTCACATACAGTTAGAGTCTACTCCCAGGGCTGACAAAGCGTAAAACCCAGCACACAGCTGCCATTCTCCCTTTTAGCATTGCCATCACCACCGCTAGAGCATTAGACGTGAGGGAGGACTGGCAGCTCCTGCAGTTACAGAACTCCTGCTGTGTGGACAGTCCTTTCTTCCAGAAAGATACAGGCAGTCAAGTCACTCTCCCTGCCCCCTGGCCTTGTTGGTTCCCCAGTGTCCTCGGTCCCTGTGGCTGGTTTACGAGGTGCCTGCCTGACCAGCCCCCTTCACTAGGGCCACCCACCTTCCCACCCTCCCCTCTCTGCTGCCCTCCCTCTGTGATTCCCCAGAAGGAGCTGGGTCTTCCCAAGCTTCTGGTGATTGGATGATTTGGGGTGTCTTCCCCAGACATCTTTGTTGTTTGCCTTCTTCCTAGCTGAACCTTATTTTTTTTATTTTATGTTATTTTTTTTGTGGGCAGTCCATTTTTGCTGCCTTAGAAAATATATATCAGCTGGTTTTCATTTCCGGGCTTGTCTGCCACTTCATTAAAGTGCTGTGTGTTCCATGTCTACGTTCAAGTAAAAAGGGCCCAGATCCAAGTCTCCAGTCATTTCCTAGGTGGCTGCTACTTGATGCAACTGTTGGTTGGCTTGAAGCCTGCGGGCTGGGGAAGGGGTGGGGCTGGTGCCCCGGGGCTGGGGATGGATGGAGAAAAGCGGGTTCTTCTGCAGCCCTGCTGCCCACAGCAAACATCGCCCAGCCCTCCAGTCTGGCAATTGTCAGGGGCTGGGAGTCCTGGGAGCTGAGGTCCGGAGAGCACATGCTTAGACAAACAGTGCAGATCGCTGCCCGAGTCAAGGCCAGTTTTCTTTCCTTCTTTCTTCCTGTCTTCACGTCTCGCAGCCTCAGGCCCCCCAGACGTCCAGTTGGCGTGTCCTTAGGCTTCATCGTTGGCAGGGCCCAAAGCAAAATGAAAATGTGGCCACTTCCAATGGGCCCTGGACGGGTGACCCCCCAAAGATCGTCACCTCTGCACTCTGGGTACCTAGATTAGGGGGTTCAAGAGGACCCTGTGGAGTCACCAGCACATGCATCAGGGCATGCCCGCGCCCAGGGTAGGGTTTTACCTTAATTATGGCCTTGAAGGAATCATGTTCCTTGAAGGAATTCTTTGTAAATCACGTTGATTTTAGGGTTTCATCTGCCATCTGGAAACTAGTGACCAGTTTTTAAAATGAGGCCGTATCTTGTGAATTTTACAAGGACCTGTGAAATGTGGTTTAGGTTACATTAGTCACAAATGTGACAGTACCGCTGAGAAAACAGTGTAATGTTTCGGATGTAGGCCTCTTGGTTACAGACTCCCACTTCTTGTGTGAAGATAGCTGGGCTAAGAGAGCAATTATTGTCATCACTACCCACCACTGGTTACTAAGGATGTAAAATACTGAGTGTGTGTGTGTGTGTGTGTGTGTGTGTGGTGATTATTATTTTTTAATATTTTTGTTGATTTAACTGAGGAAGAGAGAGGAGAGATAGAAACTTCAATGATGAGAGTGAATCATTGATCGGCTGCCTCCTGCACACCCCACACTGGGGATCAAGCCTGCAACCCGGGCATGTGCCCTTGACTGGAATCGAACCTGGGACCCTTCGGTCCACAGGCCGATGCTTTATCTACTGAGCCAAACCAGCTAGAGCATGATTATTCTTATAAGAACTTTATGATATTGCTGGTATGATGCCATTTTACAGATGAGGAACTCAAGACTCAGGGAAATTAAGTACAAGTCCACAGAGCTTGAATGTGGCCGAGCTGGGACTTGAACGCTTTATCTGAGTCACAGTTCTTTCCTCTCTGCCATTCATGCCCTCATCATCTGTGTTAACAGGGCTCTTTATAAAGGAGAGCACTAAGAGACCCATGACGTTTTGTTATAGGATACATGTCATCTTGGGCCTCCCACCACATGGCGTAGGCCTTGCATAACCTGGTAAGGAGGTGAGCAGGGAACTCCTGGGACTTGCCTAGAGGCTGCTCCGTGGCTTAGGGGACCAGCCGTAGTTTTCTGAGGGAAGGAAGGGGTCTGACAGGAAGCCTTGCTGTGCGAAGGCAAGTACCAGCAAAGCAGAGTGGAGAGAACGCAGCTCCTGGTGGCAGGCAGGCCAGCGCCGCCTCCTGTGGACAAAGCCTGTGAAGTAAGGGGAATGGCACTGACAGACAGGATGACCCGGAGGGCTGGGATTCAGTGAGATGAGGGGCCGGAGCCCTCTAACACAGTGGTCGGCAAACTCAGTCAACAGAGCCAAATGTCAGCAGGACAATGATTGACATTTCTTTTGAGAGCCACATTTTTTTAAATTTAAACTTCTTCTAATGCCACTTCCTCAACACAGACTTGCTCAGGCCATGGTATTTTGTGGAAGAGCCACACTCAAGGGGCCAAAGAGCCGCATGTGGCTCTCGAACCGCAGTTTGCTGGCCATGACTCTAACAGACACGGAACGTTTCACTGTGGTTAGTTGCAGCTGCAAAGGGACTAAATCTTCCCCTTCCCACAACCTTGCATGCACACGCTGGATGGATGCATCCTTCTGCTTAATGATTTTTCTTGCAGTCTCCTTCATGCCAGCGTGAGAAACCTAAATTTATCCTTAAAAAAAAAAACAACAACTTATTCTCTCTGTCTACTTTCCCATTGCTGCCTCCAGGTCCTCTTTTCTGAGTTTAGAGGGAAGGCCGGAAGGACCCTGGGTATCTGTGTCCATCCATAGAATCCAGCCCGGCTCCTGCACCCGCTTCCGTGGTTGGAGGGATGGCGGTGGAGATTGGGTTTGGCGCTGGTGTCCCTCTTTTGTGACTTGCTATCTTCTCCCGAAGCCTTTGGCCTCCCATGAGGACAAAAGGCTTCTTTGCCGAAACTGGTGTGGCTCCATGGATAGAATGTCAGCCTGTGGACTGAAAGGTCCCGGGTTCAATTCCGGTCAAGGCATGTACCTTGGTTGTGGGCACATCCCCAGTAGGGGGTGTGCAAGAGGCAGCTGATCAATGATTCTCTCTCATCGATGTTTCTAACTCTCTATCCCTCTCTCTTCCTCTCTGTAAAAAAAATCAATAAAGTATATTTTTAAAAAGAATTTTAAAAAAGGCTTCTTAGACGTGGAGGCCTGGTGAGTGCCCGGCGCCAGGAATGCTGCAAGTGGAGAGGCTGCCACCTGCAAAGGAGCTCAGCCCTGGTGTTCTCTGTTTTCTTGGCAGAACCAGCTTCTGGCGAAAGGACTGCTGTTTGTGGAGGAGAAGATCAAGCTGTGCGAAGGCAAGTACCAGGCTGCCCTCACCGGACGGGGTTCCCCAGACTCAGCCTTTGATGCTGGGACAGCCCGAGTGCTTCTGTCCCAACATGCCCCCCCTCTCCCGCCCCCCGTGAGTGGCTCACCCCGGCCCTGCCTCTCAGTGGGGCGGCAGCATTTCACTCTGAGTCAGCCTCTCGTGCCAAGGCGAGCTGCACCTGTGCTTCGAAACAGGAAGTGGAACTGGGAGGTCACTTTGCAGACCTGGTGTAACAGGGTGTTTTCATGGGGGTGGCCGTGGTCTGCGGTGATGGGATGAGTTACACAGTAGGTCCGGTTGTGCTGTTCTTGCTCACCTGATCCAGGCTATTTCCTATTGGCCTCTGTCCACTTTCTTGTCATAAGTGACCAGGGGCCCGTCCACTAGGTTTGTGGTTGGCAAACTGTGGTTCTTTGGCCCCTTGAGTGTGGCTCTTCCACAAAATACCACGGCCTGGGCAAGTCTGTGTTGAAGAAGTGGCGTTAGAAGAAGTTTAAGTGTAAAAAGTGTGGCTCTCCAAAGAAATTTCAATCGTTGTCCTGTTGATAGTTGGCTCTGTGACTAATGAGTTTGCCAACCACTGTTCTAGGGAAACATCCGGCTAAGCTGACAGTCACTTCAGGGGTCTCGTGGGATGGGCAAAGGAATGGTTTCCAGCTGTAAAAGATGCTTAGAGCCCATCAGAGAAGACAGAATGGGATAGGAAGGTGGGGCCAAAGGCAAACATCACCGACCCCACAGCTCCTCCTGGGACTCCGTCAGCTCCCGCCAGTGTGGGTCCCCATCTCGGCTGCCCCTGCGTCCTTGGGTGATGCTTGGCAAGTTTCTAGCTTCTCTGAGCCTTGGTTTTGAGTGTTGTTAACCTGATAAAATGGGGGTTGGGATGGTAGGGAGGATCAAGTGCATCACCGACCGGCGCAGCATTATACCCAGCACCTAGTAGGTACACAAACTGGTTCCCCCATCTTTTGTTTGTCCTGCTCTAGCCTAAGACCTCTGGCTGTAGGGCAAACTTCCTTCTAGACCCAGACTTAGCAGGCATTAGGTCACCCCTTTTCCTTCCCATCATTCCCTGGGAAAGACAGGTGTCCAGGGAAGTGGCTCCAGGACAGGCAAGGCAGGAAGAGAAACGCGGAGCCGGCAGGCCAGAGGGCGCTGTCTGGCACACAGAGAGTGCTCACCAGCCTGTGAAGATGGGAGGTTAGACACTCCCTGTCTGCCCAAGAGCTGCCTGAACCTGTGGCCTTGTTTTCCTGGCATCCATCTGTGCTGAGACTCCTCACGCTTACAAACACCCTCCAACCCAAGGCCTCGCTTCCAGCAACTGGCTCTGCTGAGTACTCAGTGGGCCTTGTGCATTTTGGCGGCTGGCTAGGCAAGAGGAAAGAGAAGCATGGACTCTGGGCACATTATTGGCCTGGAAGTCACTTGGGGAATGATTACTTGCTCTTGCCAATATGGACAGATACCAGCTTTAGGAAAGGACGCTGAGCAAAACCAGAGATCCGAGTGCCCTTAAAAAGGGAAGGGGGCCCTGGCCGGTTTGGCTCAGTGGATAGAGCAGTGGCCTGTGGACTGAAAGGTCCTGGGTTCGATTCTGGTCAAGGGCACATACCTGGATTCCGGCTCGATCCCTAGTGAGAAGCATGCAGGAGGCAGCCGATCAATGCTTCTCTCTCATCGTTGAAGTTTCTATCTCCCTCTCCCTCTCCCTTCCTTTCTGATATCAATAAAAATATATTTTTTTAAAAGGAAGGGGGAATGTCTTTTGCCCAAGTGATATTCAACAGACACTCAGAGTGAAGCCTGAGAATGGAGCTAGATGGGTAGGCAGGTCCTCCAGAGTTCTGGGCCGAGGCCCCAAAGTGGGCCGGCGAGCTCCGGGGCCGGGGGGTCTCTCTGTGGCCCCTGGTCCCTGCATCTGAGTGCCAGGGTTCTCTCTGCACAGCCAAGGAACCTGAGAAGAACTTTCTAGGGTTTCATACCTTCAGCCAGAACGTCTCTGCTCTAGTTTACGTATTAGACTCCAAGAAAGATTTCGTTTGGGGGAGAGGATTCTCTTGCTATGAAATATCATTTGAAAAGGACTGAAAGGACCCTTCCTATCGCTGAACAGACTGCAGGTTATTGTCCTTTTTGCTAATATACGTCCACGCCGCCTCGTGGCCACAGAAAGGACGGAGGCAGCTCCTGTCCGCGGGGTGTTCTGTCGAGGATGTGCCACGTGACTCACAGCCATCCCTGCTGAGCTTTAGTGACCTTGATGTGAAAGACGTTTCCCGTTCCTGTTCTCAGTGTCTCTGGTGATTTAACTCCCGTGGTGCAATGGAGGGGAGCTTTCTAAGAGAGTCATCTAGAACCTTCCATCCAGGGAGGATTTTGCAGGGAGCTGAGTCCTTGACTTGGGGGCTGTTTCTGGAGGTGATGTCACCTCCTTCCTTGAACTCTTGCTTCCCCAGAGCTACCCCGCTTCTGAATGAGGTTCTTTTCAGAATACCTTCTAAGCCTCCATTACTCTCTGGAGTCTGCAGCCAGCAATCCGGTCCAGGCTCCTGGGACAGGCACCTTCCAGCTGGGGGCTGAGGGGTAGCCTCAAGCGCCCACGAGCTTTTCATCTGGGGAAGGGGGAGGAGGAGGAGAGCAGATAGGCGCCAGCCCAGCATTGATCTGCAGGATTCACCTCCTTCCCTTCGGGGCAGGGGGGCCTCTGCTTGTCTGTGTGCCGGAAGGATTAGCATAAGGGCTGTCAGTGAGGAGCTGGGACAGCCTCTTCTCCTTTGAGGCACATTAATCTGGGTTTGGGTTTTACCTTGGGTTTTAGGAACTGGGCTGGCTCATTCCTGCAGAGAGCTAGCATAGCCTTCCTTTGAAAAGAGGATGCTGATGGATTGAGTCAAACACTTATTGATTATCTCCTATATACCAGGTTCTTTCATAGGTACTGGGGACCCAGGGGTGAACAAAACCATCCTAGGATTATAGGACCTTTGGAGCTCACAGCCTGGTAGGGAGACAGATGTTAATCAAATCATCACCAATTATAAAACTGCAGCGAGGCTAAGTACTAAGAATATCATGCCACCCATAGTAGGAGGATTTGGGCACCTTATTGTGGTCAAGGGCACATGCCTGGGTTGCAGGCTCGATCCCTAGTGAGGGACGTGCAGGAGGCAGCCGATCAATGCTCCTCTCTCATCATGGATATTTCTATCTCCCTCTCCTTCCTTTCTGAAATCAATAAACATATATATTGGAGCTGAAATTACAGAGATAAACAGATGTAGGTTATGCAGAGAGAGGAGGAAAAGAAGGGTGTGGGCAAAGGGACTGGTGCATGCAGAGGCCCTGAGCACGAAGGGACCTGGTGAGGGGGAGGGGCTGAAGTAAAACCCACAGGGTGAGGGCTTGAGGCTGAGGGGATAGAGAAGACGTTGAAGACACAGAGGGAAACAGACTCCCCTGGCCAAGGTACTCACATTATGGAGTTTGGTTTGTTTTGTTTGTTTTTTGTTTTTTCAAGCAAAGGAGAGTGTTGGAGCTAATCACGAAGTACTGTTCTGTCTTGTCCCATATCTGGGTTAAATGGTTACCTCCCTCCACTCAGCAGCCCTAGTGTTTGCAAAAAACCCACAATCGCCTGGTGGCTGTGGCTTGTGGTTGAGCACCAACCTATGAACCAGGAGGTCAGAGTTTGATTCCTGGTCAGGGCATCTGTCCAGATTGTGCAGGCTTGATCCCCAGTAGGGGTGCATGCAGGAAGCAGCTGATGGATGATCTCTCTCTCCCACTGATGCTTCTATCTCTCCATCCCTCTTTTTCTCTCTCTAAAAATCAATAAAAACATATAAAAACAACAAAAACAACCCCACAACCCTGTACACTTAACACTTTGCTATTCATTCATTCATTCATTCATTCATTCATTCAAAGATGTCTAGAAATTGATTTATCATGCTAAGCACTAGAAATACAATGGTGAGCAGGACAGAAAGAGCCCAGGCACTCACTCCTGTCCTGGTGGAGTCAGAGAAGTAAAGTAAGCAACCGAGTGTCATTAGCACTATGGGAGGGAGAGGGGAGGACCCGAGGGGTTTGCATCCCCTTTCCCCCCACGTACATCTCACGCTGACTTTTCCAGATCTGCGTGTCTCCGGCCCCGCCAGCTATCAGTCCTGCCCTTGCTCTGTTCTCTCTCCCAGCCACTGCTTTTATTGCCCACTAAATTAATAGACGGAATGTACTATGAAGAGCTCTGTACCAGTTTAGTGCCACTGGCAGTGTTGGGCCAAACGGCGCTCCTGGTGTCTGATCTTGGTTGACCCACTTTCTCTGCCTCTGATGAGCACAGACAGCGCCCCATCCGCTCTGTTATCTGGGTCATTGAACAGCAGCCACCGTGAGGCCCTCTCAGCCCGGCTGCCCGCCTTTCCTCAGGGTCAAAGTTCCTCCCACAGCCTTCCGGTGGCCCTGGGGGACCCGAGGACATCTAGCGGGGGGTGGGGGTGGGGGTAGGGGAGGGGGTGCTTGGCCACGGCTCAGGCTCCCTGATCCCAGGGGTGAGAGGAGGTACTGCTTTGGGATACGGGTCCTGTGTCCCACACGTAACCAAAATGCTGCAAAGCAGGAGGAGGTGACAGTTTCTAGGCCCTCTACCCACCTCCCTCCACTGACAGCTCAAATCCAGAATAAAAGGCCATTGTCTTGCTGAAACCGGTTTGGCTCAGTGGATAGAGCATTGGCCTGTGGACTGAAAGGTCCCAGGTTTGATTCCGGTCAGGGGCATGACCTTGGTTGTGGGCACATACCCGGTGGGGGTGGTACAAGAGGCAGCTGGTCGATGATTCTCTCTCATTGACATTTCTAACTCTCTCTCCCTCTCTCTTCCTCTCTGTAAAAAGATCAATAAAATATATATATTTTTAAAAAGCCATTGTCTTAGTGATTGAAAAACAACAACAAAGCAATATATAAGTGAGGACAGGCCTTGCCCAGTTCATGTTGGTCAAGAGCATGGTTCTGGAATCCCAGCTCTGCCTTTCTGCTGTGTGACATTGAGCCAGGTACTTGACCTCTCTGAGCCTGTAAAATAGGGTAATAGAGCCTACTGAGAAGATGTCTTGTGGATAAGTACATTAGCACAGGGACTGATAATGTTGTAACCATGCTCGTGATAATAACAATTGTTATAGGATTTTCACAATTCAGCTCCCTTTTCCGGGTTGGGGCCAGAAGGCATATTTGCATAATTCCAGTTGAGTCTTTCCATCCAACCCCTCGGTTACCATAGTCACACAGATCGAATGTAGGTGATGGGCCTTCGTCCCCTGCGCCCCTCTCCCCATGCTCCAATGAGGGGAGCTGTCTTTTAGCCTCGCCTGCAAGTAATGACAAGCTCTTTTCTTTCTCCCCCTCCCATCTTCTCGCTCCCGTGTAGGTGAAAATCGCATTGAGGTTCTGGCTGAAGTCTGGGACCACTTCTTCACTGAGACCCTCCCCACCCTGCAGGCCATATTTTACCCAGTTCAGGTCAGTCTCGCCGGAACAGCCTCCTGGTGACGGGGGAGGACAGGAGGCCGGGCGCCTGAGTGGGCTAAGGACTCAGAGGTCTCTGCAGGGCACTGGGCTCCCATCCTTAGCATCAAACCTTGACCAAAGAGGAGGCCCGCAAGGTAGCTATTTGTAGGCCCTTGTCACCCTCTTGGTTTGGAGAATGTTCATATATTATTGGAGTGACCTGCTTCTTACTCTCCCCTTTCTTTCCCTTTCTCCCCCTTTTCTCTGAAGCCCGATTTTTAAAAAATATATTTTTACTGATTTCAGAGAAGGGAGAATAAGAAAAAGATAGAAACATCAATGATGAAGGAATCATTGATTGGCTGCTCCTGCATGTTGGACAGAGCCTGCAACCCAGGCATGGGCCCTTAACCAGAATAGAACCTGAAACCCTTCAGTCCACAGGCCAACACTCTATCCACGGAGCCAAATGGGCTGGGGCTGAAGCCCGATTTTTAATCGGCTTCCCTGTTGCTCCCAGATTGTGAGAGGGGGATGGTGTGCCTTGCCCTCCACAAAGGATTCCTAAAGATGACGGGGCAGAAAGAACCCCGACTCGGGATCTCGTGGGATTTGGGCAAACCCTTCTCACTTCTCAGAATGTAGCTCCATTTCGTCTCCTGCGAAGGGAGGAATTCAGGCAGAAAGAGGAGAGGTGCCCCCTGTGACTTCAGCTCACTGTCCCACTTAGTTCCTTCCAGCCTCTTGCAGGGCTGGTCAGTGCCAGGTCAGAATGGACACCCCAAGGTAGGTGGACCCAGGTGTCACAGCTCAGCGCTGCTGTGCGCACTGACCCCACTCCTGCCCGCCCTGGTTCAGGGTCCTGTCTTCCTGTCTACTGGGGCTTTGGTGAAGTGCGGGCATGGGCACAGCCACAGCCCGGCCCTTAGCAATGGCGGGAATTGCCTTGTGCTAGAGGTAATGGCCCACGTGCTTTGCTTGCTCTGAGTGCTGTTTTAAAGGAACCTGGGTTTCTTTGAACTCTTTGTTAAATGTTTAAAACCCCCAGCCTGCAGCCCACAGCTCTCCTCCCCCATCCCCAGCCTATCCTGCTCCCGTAGCTCTCCTCCCCCCATCCCCAGCTCGTCCTGCTCCCCTGAGAGAGGACTGAGAGCACTTACGGGGACAGTTTGGTCCCCTCTCCCCCACGCCCACAAGCTCTCCCTTCCCTGCAGTGGTCACTCCACAGCCAGCAGTCCTGGGAGGTAGGGTGGGCAGATGTAGCCAATGAAAACACAGGGTGCTGAGTTAACTCTGGGTTTCAGATCAACGTAAATAATGCAAAGTCTGAGACACAGACTAGAGAAAAATTCACACATAACTGGACACTTTGTGTTGTACTTGGCCACCCTATTGAAGGGGGTTTGCCATCCTGTGTCTCTCTTAAGGGCCATTTGGGCATGAAAATCCCAGGGGAGGGTACCCAGATGGGTTTAGGATGGGGTCTGGGTGGGCGTTCTCACGGGACAGTTGCCGGAGGGCCTAGAGGAGCCCCATTGGGCAGGTCTGCGGCTGGTACCCCGCTTCTCTGGAAAGATTGTAAGATCTGGCAACAACTGGTTTTGCTCCGGTCCACTTGCCCCTAATTTCTCAAGTGATGCTGCTGCTGCTGGTCCAGACACCCCACTTTGAGAACCCCTGACTGAGCGATGCTCGTTATTGGCAGTAACACCTGCTGAGGTGTCTGTGAGTCCAGCTTCCTGTGGGTTGAGGTGTCTGCCAGACCTGTTCCTCATTGGACAGTTGTGTTTCTGAGTGCTTGCTCAGAAACACAACTGTTTTTCCCTCTTGCCACCTGAAAGGGCTCTAGGAGGTAAAGTGGGGGCACAGATACCTACCTACCAGATCAGTGGGCAGTGCCAAGTGCTGGGGCATGATGCAGAAACTAGAAACTGCAGGACCTTGGAAAAGATTGGTAGGCCACTGCAGTGAGATGGTCAGGGCAGGTAGAAGGGTGGTGGAATTGTACATGGAAGGCGTGGGTGGCATGGTGTGTGTGTCTTGGGACTGGAGGGTAGAGGTTTGGCTCAGTGGATAGAGCGTTGGCCTGAGGACTGAAAGTCCCAGGTTCAATTCCGGTCAAGGGCATGTACCTTGGTTGCAGGCACATCCCCAATAGGGGGTATGCAAGAGGCAGCTGATCGATGATTCTCTCTCATCGATGTTTCTAACTCTCTATCCCTCTCTCTTCCTCTCTGTAAAAAAATCAATAAAATATATTAAAAAAAAAAAAAAAAAAACACCAAAAAACAAAACAAAACAAAACCTCCCTAAGGAATTGTAAAATATGCTAAACTTCCGCATGTCCTATTGTCAGAGTGTAAACTTCCGCATACCTTTGTCTCTACTGAGAGCAATTGGCTTTTGGAGTGTTCTGTGTATAAATGTGCAAAGGAGAGCCTGGGAAATGGGCCCTTCTTTCCCTTTCTATTTTGCAAACATCGGGAGCTCCAAAATCAAATAGTTTGGGTTTAGCCTGGCCAATGTGGCTCAGTGGTTGAGCATCAACCTATGAATCAGAAGGTCATGGTTTGATTCCCAGGTTGTGGACTCTATCCCCTGTAGGCAGCGAGCAGGAGGCAGCCAATCGATGATTCTCTCTCTCCCTCTTCCTTCCTCTCTGAAATCAATAAAAGTATGTGTATTTTTTGTGTGTTTTTTTTAAAGTTCAGGTCTGTAATCCAGCTGTATGGGCTGTAGGATTTTTCACCTTAAAGTGGGTTTTATAATAGTACCTCTCTCAAAGGGTGGTCACGGGCATTCAGTTTTCATCAGGGATATCTAAATCATGCCTCGCCGTGGTCTGAACTTCGTGTCAGTTCTTAGGATTGCTAGCTATTATTTCCTTTCTCCGTCCCCACCCCACGTGGTTGAACAAATCCCTTCCTTCTCTTCCCCCAGTTCTTTTCTTCCTGAGTTACTCGCATGTATATGAACCTTACAGGCCCCAGGCTTTCCTCCTTCGCCTGGCATGCGACTGGTGCTCAAATAGACAACAGGTGAAGCTGAGGAAGCAGCCTTGAGGGTGGGGAGGAGGTGGTGATCTTTCTTTCCTCTTGTTTTTCCCATCTTCCTCTCCATCTTCCTTCTTTCTGACCCTCACGGGGACAGTCTGGCCCCCGGGAAATGCATCTGGTGTCACCAGTGGGTTATGTAGGCAGGTCCAGTTGCCCACGTCTTCACCTCTTTGACAGCCCCCGTGTGGCTGGTGGCAGGTCCAGGGAGTGCTCCCCATCCTGACACTGCCCATTCTCCCCCCACCCCCAGGGCCAGGAGCTGACCATCCGCCAGATCTCCCTGCTGGGTTTCCGTGACCTGGTCCTGCTGAAGGTGAAGCTGGGCGACCTGCTGCTGCTGGGCCCGGCTCGGCCGCCCCCGTCCATCATCCAGATGCTGCTCATCCTGCAGGTGAGGCCCCGGGGAAGACGCGACCCCGAGGCCGAGGGAAGGAAGAAGGAAAGAGCCTGCCACTGTAGATAAGGGGGAAGGGATTCGAAGGACCAGAGCACCTGAGCTGAGTGCAGTGTCCTTTCCTCGTTTCTGTCCCTTAGCTCAGTGGTTGGCAAGCAGCGGCTCGCCAGCCACATGCGGCTCTTTGGCCCCTGGAATGTGGCTCTTTCACAAAATACCATGGCCTGGACGAGTCTGTGTTGAAGAAGTGGTGTTAGAAGAATTTAAGTTGAAAAAATGTGGCTCTCAAAAGGAATGTCCATTGTTGTCCTGTTGCTATCTGGCTCTGTTGACTCATGAGTTTGCCCACCACTGCCTTAGCACATTTTCCATTGGCTGGACAGCCCCTGAGTGTCTCTGAGGTCCCTGGCGCTATGCTCTGCCCTGGGGACACGTAGTCCTGTCATTCAGGCAGGGGGAGCCCATCCCTCCTCCGCTGCTCTGCCAGGGAGTGAGGAGTTACAAGTAACAGTAAGAGCCCACCGCAACCTAGCTCGAGCCAGACCAGGGCTCTCTGGAAGGTTCCTGAGGCAGGTGGGCTTCCCAAAAATACCGCAGCCAGAGGGAGAGCGTGTCAGGATCTGAGGACTTGGCTCTGCCCTTCAGGTCTAGGCTCAAGTCTCCCGGGCTAGGTTGGGCGCTTCGGGGCTAGGGTCACCCATTCGGAGCTAGGGGCAGTCCACCCAAACTGCATCATTGGGACCCGTGGGAGAGGCGCCATGGCAACGATGATGGGGGGTGGTCACGGGAACCCATGATGCATGGCTCGGGCTGCAGGCCTCAGTTCCCTGCGTCCCAGCCACGAGGGCCTGCCTGCCCTCGTGTCACTGTCTTGGACGTGGCAGGAGGGCCCGCTGGCCCTGGCACCGCTGACTGACCTTTGCCCCTCTTGAATGTTTGTTTCCAGAGTGTTCATGAGCCCACAGGCCCCAGCGAGGGGTGTTTGCAGCTGGAGGAGCTGGTGAAGCAAGTGGTTTCTCCTTTCCTGGGTGTCAGCGAGGACCGCGGCATCTCGGGCCCCACGTACACGCTGGGTAAGGGCCCCAGGTCCCGCTGGGTAAGGGCCACAGCTCCCCAGCTCCCCGGAGCCTCGATGATGATGCTACCAACCACAAAGATGTGCCAAGTCTCTTGCTTCGGATGCAGGCTGTGCAAATGTGGGCACATCTGCCCCCTCGCTTTCCCCCGCTGACCTGGGTCTTGGTAACCTTCTCCCCACCCTGGGATTCCCCCCGCGGGCCCTACCATGCCTCCGCGGTGGTGCTTATCTGGCCCACATCTTTGACCCGGGGTTGCCACATTCATTTCTCCTGAGCCTGATGCCAGAGCTGTCTTATTGCACCCACCGCCGCTGAGTGGGCTTCCCTTTGAAATCACCTGCGCACGGGAGTCCAGCGTGTGGCCAGAGGAGGTGGAGCTGCGGCTCCCGCTCCATGTGTAGGTACCGCCACGGCCTGCGCACCGAGGATAGGGGCTCCTGGATTTGGGGACCACCCCTTTTGAGGCCATTTTTTGGTGTCTGGAAAGTTAGCATGAGTGAGCGTCAGGCTCGGCAATAGCCCCCTGGAGAAGCTGGTGTTGAAGCGAATAGTGTGTGACCTCCGTCCAGATAGGGAAGTGGCTCTAGATTAAGGCATTTTTGTCCCAAAAGACGTTTCAGTTGCCCTCTGAAACAAGAGTTCCCTAAAAGAGCAACTTCTTGTGGGTTGTTCTGTCTCCAGGGCCTGGAATAGTGCTTGGTATACAGTAGGCACTCAGACATGGAAGCGAGATGGATGGCATCTGTACCCCGAGGCCAGGGCGACAGGATTCCCTGGATTTAGAACCTCTTGCCCCTTCTCCTTGCTTGACTGGAGTCGGAGCTGTGCTCAGAGCACAAAGCAGAGGGGCAGCTTCCAGCAAGGTTCTGCCCCTTCCCGGGCCTCCCCTGCAGAGAGAGAGAGAGAGAGAGAGAGAGAGAGAGAGAGAGAGAGAGGTTCTGCCCCTTCCCGGGCCTCTCCTGCAGAGAGAGGCAGGGCTGCCTTGGTCTTCACCGCCCCTTCGTGTTTCTCTGGAGACATCGGCTTAACCACAGCCACCGCAGACGGGGTGCTGCCCCAGCCTGCTGCCTGCCAGCCAGCCCCCCCCCCCCCCTCTCCCTCGCCCCGTCTCGCACATCACTTACTCATTCCACCCAGGAGCTGGGAGGAGGCGGAGTGGAAATGACAGCTGGAGGAACCCTGCCCTCCCAGCTGGGCCTGGGCGCCTATGGTGCACCCTGCCTGGAGCCCAGCTTCCTGCTCGTGGCCACGGCCACGGCCACGGCTCACCTCACGGGTAGGGGGTGGGGCGGGGATCCAAGCAGATGCCAGGTGCCCCAGGTTGGGCCCTGGCAAGGCTCCACCCACCCTCGCTGGGCCTAGAGCCGGGGGCAAGGGGAGACCCAGAAGTTTGTTCAGTGAGGGCTTCCTCTAAGAAGCTTGGCTTCCATTTCCCAGCTAAAATAATACAATACGTGCTTTTGTCACATCACAAAGCAAAGGCAGGAGGAGTCATTCTTAAACCGAGGACCGTCCTGGTGGCCCAGGGTGTGGTCTCAGTAGGAGCCGAGAGGGGAGGAAATGACCCTCTTTGGGTTACTTCTGAGTTGTCATTCCAGCAAGGGCGCCCTAAGACCCTGACCAGGTAACTTAAAAAAAAAAAAAAAAAAAAAATATATATATATATATATATATATATATATAAATATATATATATATAATTTATTCATTTTTTTACAGAGAGGAAGGGAGAGGGATAGAAAGTTAGAAACATCGATGAGAGAGTAATATCGACCAGCTGCCTCCTGCACACCCCCTACTGGGGATGTGCCCACAACCTAGGTACATGCCCTTGACTGGAATTGAACCGGGACCCTTGAGTCCGCAGGCCGACGCTCTATCCACTGAGCCAAACCAGCTTCGGCTAGGCACCTTTTTGAGGTGCTGCTGGTGTATCCCTGAACAAAGCTGACCCACCCACCCCTGCCCCCTGGCGAGCACGGTCAGGTGTGGAAGGCACCGACAATGGACGAGGACTCATCCGTATACCAGTGCTCTGAGTGGGGAAGTACTGGGGCTGTGGCTTCCACCCCCCGGGGGACTTTACCTGGACGGGGGAATCCGGGAAGGCTCCCTGGAGGAAGTGAGATCGGCTGAGGACCTGTAGGCTGAATGTGAGTTAGCTGAGTAAACAGAAAAGGCAGCCCATCCCCACAGCAAAGGGAAGGATCTTCGGGATGGTGTTGGGGTGGGGGATGGAGAGCAGGAGGGCGCAGCATTTGAGGAACTGAAATTGCATCAGAGTTGCAAAGAGGCTGGTGGCAGGGGAAGGCTGGGTGGCTGGACCCTGGGCCTCAGTGGGGGCACCGTCGTGCCCATTTCACAGGTGAGGAAAATGAGGACTGAGGGCACTTGGCGAATGGAGCCGGGCTTCCGAGTCCCCAAGCTGGTGCACCGCCCAGCTTTCCCACACGCTCCACCTCTCCTCGCACCCCCTCACCCCCACCCCCCACCCCTAGCCACTCCTGGGAGACGGCTGTGATTTCACTGGGGGTGAAGGGGGCAGGTGAGGAGTGGTCCTTCCCTCTCCTCCTAACTTAGTCCAAGACGCAGCCGAGCCCAGACATTGTCCCTCCAACCTCGGCCGCTCTCCATTCAAACTGGCCCAGCAGTGCCCTTCCTTACTGGGGACACTCCTTCCCAGACTGCGAGGACTCCTGGCCTCAGTCTTCCCCTCCGCACAATGGAGACATTTATCCTGACCCCGGGGGAGAAGTGTAGTGAGGACCCAGGAGAGGCGTTGGGCGTGAGAAAGCCTGTCCCCACAGGGGGGCTCTGCCTTGGTCCTGGGGCCTGGCTAGGGGTGGGAGCGGTAAGGGAAGCCAGAGAGTCTGAAAAGCCACCACTTACCGAATGCCGGCCACATTCCCGGTGCCGGGCACGTATTCATTTCATCCTGGCACAGCCCGCTGCGCGTGGGGACTGTGTCTCTGTCTCAGAGTCATTGTGCAGCTTCATACACAGGGAGGTGACCAGAGCTGGGAGGTGGTTTTTTTACATGTTGGATCTGGGATTCTTGGTGTCTCTCTCTCTCTCTCTCTCTCTCTCTCTCTCTCTCTCTCTCTCTCTCTCTCCCTCTCTCTCTCTCTCTCCCTCTCTGCTCTCTCTCTCTCTCTCCTCTCTCTTTCTCTCTCTGCCAGCCAGGCCCAATGGGCTTGAGGAATAAGCCTCATTCCCTGGGTATACAAAGCTTGCTTCAGAGCCTGAAGCCATGATAGGGGGGTGGGTGTGTGTGTGTCCTTTTACTGGGACAATGAAATCTTCAAAAGGCCGATTGATCGGCCAGGACCTAGGCCCTCACCCCACCTTTCTGTAGCATTCCCAGTTTCCAAGCCGCTGCTGGCTGCTTGCAGGCCCTCTGAGCAAACACAAAAGCCCTGGCCTCCCCTCCCCTCCCCACTTTGTGTCTGCAGCAAGGGGGGTGGGGGGAGGCTTTGCCTCCAGATACCATAGTTCTCTTCTTGACAAATAGGCATTCAGGGCTTCAGGTGCTGGGGCCCGTGCAGGGTCACAATGCCCGCATTGTGGCTGCCCCTCCTGGGGGCTCAGCCGGTGAGCCCCGCAGATCAAAGGCTGGGAACCCAGTCCCCAGCAAAGGGCCAAGGAGAGCCTTGCAGGTTTTCTCTCTCTCTCTCTCTGGGGTGTGAAAGGAGCTGCCATCGCTGGCTCCATGCAGAGGAGAGGGATGCCAGAGCTCAGGGGAAGGGGGCAGGGGCCTGGTACGGGAGGAAGGAAAAGAGGCCTCCCCTCCCCCACCCCGTGTGACAGGCAGGAGGCAGCCTGGAGGTAGGTGCCAGCAGAGGGGGCAGTGGGCGGACCGACCCCTCACCCTGCTCAGAGGGCCCTAGGCCCCAGGGGGCACTGACAGCTTCATCAGTCCCTACTTGGGAGGTTTTCTGCTCTGAGTGGCAGGCCCCGGCCTTCCCTGGTGTGAAGGAGACAAGGAGGAGAAAGCAAAGGCGACAATTTTAAGGCCTCCCAAGGGGGAGGGGGGGCTTTGGGGGCTGATCCCACCAGGAAGGCAGCTGACACTCATCTTGGGGGTGGCCTCTGGAGCCGGGTGGGAGTTGAGCGAGCAAACCCTGCCTTCCCAGGGGACTTGGCACAGCCCAGCGGCCCCTGTGGTCTGCGCTCTGCCCACACTCAGTCTTAGGAACCAAAACATTTCGCCCAGAAAGCAGAAGGAAGAGCGGTAGGCCTCCTGAATGAGTCATGGACAGGGACGGGAAGGCGGAGAGCAGCAGTGAGGGGAGAGGCGGGGCCAGCAAGGAAGGAGGAGGGCCTTGGAAACCACAGGGCTGGGCTTTGGCTGTGTGGCCTGGAGTCAAGTGAATCAACCTCTCTGAGCTGAGCACCTCGGAGAAAGAAGCTGCCCTGCCTTGGGGCAGGACCCAGGCAGAGCTGCCACCTGCGGGAGGGGGGGGGGGCGGTATGAGCCTGGCTAGAGGTGGCCTGGCCCAGAGACCATTCCTGGAGAGGCATGCGTGTGCCTCTGCCTGCCTTCCTCTCCGGGACCCCAGGCCACACACAGGGCCCTCTGCAGGGCGTCTCTGAGTCCCCGGAGCGCCATTGCCGTGTTGACCTGTGTTAACAGTATTTGAGTCAGGGCCTCTCAGTGGTCACAACGGGGGTGGAGGGGTGGGGGTGGGGGGCACTCTGCTGGCGGCCTGGGCCTGAATATAGATCTCGACATGAGCTCTGTCATGTCGGTGAAGCACGCCCTTCTTTGACACAGAACCTAGCACATAATAGATGCTCAGTTAACGATTGCCCCTGAGACAGCTCCCACCACACACACACACACACACACACACACACACACACACACACACGGCCCCCTGTGGCAGGTCCCACATCACATGTATGCTTCTCTTTCTCGTGCTGGAAGCCCAGCATGTCACATGCTAGGAAGTGTCTATTGCAGGAGTCACGGGGACTCCTCCTCCAGGCTGCCCACCTCCCTCTGGCCCCAGCTCTCACAGTAGCCTGGCAGGCCTCTCCTGTCAGTCTGCTGCCCGCTAATCTTCCCTAGGCTTTGGGCTGCTGCACTGACAGTGTCAGGGAGGTGGGCGACTTCCAGGCACCCCACCGAGACACCGTGCCTGGCTCATTCTACCAGGCCGGGGCCCCTGGATTATCACCCAGTGAATTTCCATTTCTTCCAGAGATACCGCCTGGGTCCACCCCCCAGCACATCTGTCCCCGGTACCCTCACATCACCTTGGGCCCAGCTTCTGTTCCAGCTCTCTCCTCTTCCTGGACCTGAGTGTAGGGAATCCTCTGCGAACAGTCCAGCCCCACCTCCTGCCTGGCCGGCCGCAGAGTTGGGGCCACAATATGGGATTTTTCAATTGCCGACCTCGGGGGTGCTTGCTCTTGGCAGCCGCGGGAGAGAGATGAATTGTGTTCCAGGGCGTTTTTAAAGCCCGGTTCTTTAACGGGGTGGCTGCTGCTTTGAACTCTCCTGCTGCTTCTGTTTATAGGTATCGACTTTTGAGATCATAAAAGTAATACATGGCGATTGTAAAACGTGCGGGGACATGAAGGGAGCGGGAGCCCCTGGCCTTCAGGGAGCACCTCTGCCCCGGCTGGCACAGTTCTTTCTGTCTGGAGGCCCCTTGGCATGTTGCCCCTAGGCATTCTTCCCCATCGATTAGGAGGTTTTTATTTATTTATTTACTTATTTATTTATTTATTTATTTATTTACAGAGAGGAAGGGAGAGGTATAGAAAGTTAGAAACATCCATGAGAGAGAAACATCTATCAGCTGCCTCCTGCACATCCCCCACTAGGGATGTGCCCGCAACCAAGATACATGCCCTTGACCAGAATCGAACCCAGGACCCTTCAGTTCACAGGCCGACATTCTATCCACTGAGCCCAACCAGTTTGGGCATCAATTAGGAGCTTTTGACACCCCCTCAGGACCCCTCCCCACCCCACGCTATGTCCTCCTCCATGACAGCCTCTGTTGCTTTCTCTCTTGCAGCCAGGCGCCACTCCCGGGTCCGACCCAAGGTCACGGTCCTGAACTATGCCTCCCCGATGACCACGGGCGGCCGGCCCCCGAACGAGATGGCCCTGACCCCTCTGACGGAGCAGGAGGGGGAGGCCTACCTGGAGAAGTGTGGCAGTGTCCGGCGGCACACGGTGGCCAATGCCCACTCGGACATCCAGCTGCTGGCCATGGCCACCATGATGCACCCGGGCCTGGGTGAGGAGCCTGGGGCCGAGGACCCGTGCCTGCTCCTGCCGCCCCGCTTCTCGCCGCCGCCCCACCGCCAGTGCTCCAGCGAGCCCAACATCACCGACGGCCCCGAGGAGCTCGAGGGGGTGGCCGGGGGCTGCCCGGGGGACTCGGAGACCAACTGTGCCTCCCTCAGCTGACTGCCCACTGGGGACCCCATCCTTCCTGTGACTCAGCCAGCAGGCCTTCCTTGGGGCCAGGCTGCCCTGTGTGTGCTTGGGGACAGGCCTAGTCTGAGTGCCCCTCAGAGGTGGGACGGGGATCCAGATGTCAGGTGCCCCCAGGTTGGGCCGTGGCAGGGCTCCACCCACCATCCATGGGCCTAGAGCTGGGAGCAAGGGTAGACCCAGAAGTTTACTCGGTGAGGGCTTCCTCTAAGAGGCTTAGCTTCCGTTTCCGAGCCTGTGACCACCTCTTTGCAGCCACACAGACCCAGCTGCCCAATGTCTGCTTCCTGATGTCCAGCCTGGCCTGCCTGATCTGGATTTTTACTCTGGGCTTCCCTGCTCAGATCCTGGACTGCCCACTGCCCCCAAGGACACCACCACCCAGCGCCCTTAGCCTTGCTGTGGCAGGAGGCTGATGGGCCGCACCTGGAGCCCAAAAGAACATGCCAGAGTTCCGCTTTGAGCCTGGCGATGCAGAGGTGTGTGTACTGAGGTACCTCTGCTTCCCCGTTTGTGGGGTGAGAACGAGATGCAGCCCCTGCCAAGCAGGGCCCTGGGGAGGCGCCTTCCTCGTTTTAGTTTCAGGATTACAGGGAGAGAGTTGTGTCCCTCCCCCCCCCCCCGTTCCTGAGGGTCCCCTGCATCACATCCCGGAGGCCTCCAGGCTGGACGAAGCCTCTGCCTTTCCCCCCGGGCTTCCTCCCAAGCTCACAGGACCAGCCTCCCTGCGGGCGTTGCCCGTGCCTTCAGCCCTCTCTGAGGCCAGAAACTGACCGTTTCCTGTTGTGGGCGAAGGGCCGGCTCATACCAACCAACTAGTCTTGTTCCTGGGTTTGACTTGAATTTTTAAAATGTGCATCGTTTTAAAACAAGTTGTCTGCGAATATTTGCACGGAGGGTCTCACACCGCTCCTTCCCGATGGGGTGTGTCTTTCACACCCTCCGGGAAAGGGGAGAGAGCATTTGGGGTTAGGGGTGGGGGGGTTGGGAGAGGGACCCGTGGTGGGCTGGGCTCACGGGCTGCAGGACTCTGGAAGCAGCTGGGCTCGGATCCAGAATGGCCTGTGTTTGTGGCTTGTTGGAGGAGCCGCAGGGAGGCAGGCAGACGGCTGCGTGAGCAGAGGGCTGTAGCAATGGAATGTCTCAGTGCTTTCCCATGGGGTAGGAGTGGGGGAGAGGAAGGTGAGGGTCTATAGGGCCTCTTGGAGAGAGGTTCATTCCCTGTGAATAAAGGGAATTCAAATGCCTGGAATTTGACCCGTGAGGCCTCCAAATGCCTTTGCTAGCGTGCTGTCTCCTTGCCGCTGGCTTTCTGTCCACCTCGAACCTCTGTTCTCTTTCGGAACAGCTCCAAAAGAAAAGAGAAGGCTCCCTGGGACCCTTCTGGCACCTTCTCGGTATCCTGTTAGGCTCGGAAAGTTTGTTAATAAAATCTCAGAGGTGAGAGCCAGCTTGGCTTCGACTGAGGCAGGAGGAGGAGGCTGAGGGGGGGTGAGGGCAGGTCCGCCGCCAGGAGGGGAAGGGCCTTCTAAGCGCCTCTGAGCTCTGACAGCATTTCCCTCCCCGGTGGAGATCCAGGCCATGACCAGAGCTGTGCTTTGGGTGGCTGCTAATTTGGAACATGTGTCTTAATGAGTTGTTTTCATGTTCGTCCTTCCACGAGAGCAATGGAAGACAAGCATCCGGCGGAGGTCTGAGAACGTCAAACACGCACAACCAGAGTCTCGGTGAGCGAGCAGGATGACACCCACACGTTGGCGGGTGTGCATTAGCGGATGGAACATCAGTGGGTAACAGCACGGTGATGTGCTTAGTGGAGGGCTTCGGGCCTTCAGTACCCGGAGCATTTGGGACTGGACTGTGTTGATTAAGTAATGAATCATGCTTGGGTTTGTGGGCTTTGGTTTTTTCTTCTTTGTTTACAATTTAGCCCTACATATGCATTTCAGTGCCTTTTCCATCTAGTATGTGGCCCTGATGCGGACAGCGGTCATCAATGAAACACGTGAGCTCCCAGGTGGGGAAGGGGTGTGTCAGTCCAGACCCAGGGAACTTGACTTTGCTGAGGCCTGTTAGCCAGTTTCACCGCTAATGTACACACCGGATGTTTGCACACACTTTAGACTGTACCTATACACACGTTATTTTAAGAAAAATTAATTTTATTGATTTTTTTACAAAGAGGAAGGGAGAAGGATGGAGAGTTAGAAACATCCATCAGCTGCCTCCTGCACACCCCCTCCTGGGGATGTATCCGCAACCAAGGCACATGCCCTTGACTGGATTCGAACCCGGGTCCCTTCAGTCCAAAGTACCACGCTCTATCCACTGAGCCAAACCGGTCAGGGCTATTCACGCGTTATTGATGTTCATGGGCATTCCAGCCATCGTTTTTTTTTTGTTGTTGTTGTTTTTGTGTGTGTGTGTGTGTTTGTGTGTGTGTGTGTGTGTTTATTATTTAAATGAGAAAGGGACAGAGAGATAGAAACATCAAGGATGAGAGAGAATCATTGATTGGCTGCCCTCTGCACTCCCACTACTGGGAATCGAGCCGGCCCACTACTAAGGATAGAGTGGGCCCACTACTAAGGATAGTGCCCTGACTGGGAATCGAACCATGACCTCCTGGTTCATAACAAAAGGGTACACATTCCCCGCTCTCCGTCCTCCAGAACTGTCTCTCAGTTCAGATAAGGCCTCTGAAATGCACTTCCTAAGCCTTCTGAGGTCAACTCTCAGCCAGTGAGCCATGCCAGCCAGGTGAGAATGTCTCTCTTAACATTGACATGAACTAAGACCTGAGTGAAAGGCTTTCTTTTTCTATGGCTGGCATAACAGATCTACCACCGATGGGTAGCCACACATACATTTATTGTCTCTCGGGGCTGCCGGCTGGGAGTCTGACGTGGGTCCCTGGGCTGGGATCACGGTGTTGGCAGGGCTGTGATCCTCTCTGGAGGCTCTGAGGAAGCTGCTCTCTTCCCTGGCTCCTGGCCCTCTTCCTCCACCTTCAGAGCCAGCGATGGTGGGTGGACTCCCTCTCACCAGCCCACATTCTGCCTCCCTCTTCCAGTTTGAAGGACCCTTGTGGGTCCATCGGGCCCATCCCGGTAATTCAGGAGAATCTTCATGTCAAGGTTTCTGTGGGCACTGCCTTTGCCGCTCTCTCAGTAGGAAAGAGGCCAGCCACATGGTGTGCTAGGGGCCCTTGGAGAATGAGAGTGCATCAGGCGGGTGGGTGGGTGGGTCTCAGTGGCCAGGGCTCACTGGCTGGCCTGGACCACAGCCTCTGAGCTCAGCCTCCACCCATCAATACCTGCCCTCTTCCAATGACCATGATTCTGGAATCCCTTGCTCAAATCTGTTACTTCTCAGCTCATATGCCTGTCAGGCCCTCAGCACCCCTGTCTGGACCTCTATGACTTACCAGTTTGTCTGCAGATTTCATCTCTCCTATGGACATCCCCAACTGAATTTTCTAAAATTCAATCCTTACTAAAACGTCACCCTGCCTTCCAATAAAAGCCACACACCTGAACTTGACTTACACAGTTGCCTAGCTCTTCACTCGACCTTCAGAAGTTTGCCTTCTCACCAAGTCACTCATTCAATTGGTTCTTAATTTCTTTGGCCTTTTGGTCTACATTTGAGGACCTTTGAGAAGAATCCTAAGCAATGTGAATATCTTGATTCTTAATAGTCTTCTGAATTCTTTCATATTCTTGGGGCCACATAACTTTTAAGAAATACCTAAACATCTGTCTTATATCAGTTAAATATCTCATAGTTTTGTCTGGGGTCCAACTTACAAGGTCATTCCATTCTCTGGGGACGGATCTAGGATCAAGTCAATTGCCTGTCAACAAATACGTTGGCTGCCATGCTAAGGTAGTTTGGAGACAGGCTCAATAAATGGATACAGCATAAAACTTCTGGTCCTGGCTATAGGGGAATGGATTGTCTCAGATTAATCTTCCTGCCAAAATAATTAAAAAAGTTGGAGGAAATATAGAAAGCATCTGTTTGAAGGAATTGGAGAACACCCAGTCCAGATGGGATCTGAGAGGCTATGATCTCCCAGAGAAGGGAAATGTATTGGGCAATCTTCACATTCACCCTGGTTTTTCCTGAGGGCCTTTCACCAAGTCACTGGTGCGGGTGGATGGAGGGGAAGAACGGTGATAGCAGAAGCAGCAGTCTTATGGGGCTGAGATCAGAATTTAAGGCTGCCAGAGGAGCTGGGCCTCGAAGGGAGAATGATGGAGAGGACGTAATGAGACAGCTACTCTTCAAGCTGTTGGCTGTCTCCTCAGCTGAGCAGATGGTGAGAACTCCAGGAAACCCAGCAGAAAGCAGCAGCTGGGGAGCTAAAGAGCTGAATAGATTTGAGCTGTTGCACAATGATGAGGAGACAGAGGCTCATGTCCCACTGAGGTAGAGGGGCTTTGACAAACATCCGGGGCTTTTGGTTAAGGCCCAGAAGGGCCACACTTGAGGAGTAACAGTCATGCTCAGTAGGAAGAAGATAGACTAAACACAACTGTATCAGTAATTACATTAAACGTAAATAGACTAAACATTCCAATGAAAAGACAAAGAAAATCAAACCAGATTTAAAAAATAACAATATGCTGTTAATAAAAGACATTTTAAATGCTGAGACACAAAGATTGAAGAAAAAAAGATGGGAAATATATATATATATATATATATATATATATATATATATATATATACCATGTAAACACTAGCAAAAGAAATTTGGTGTTGCTAATTTAGTTACGCAAATTTCACAATGATAAAGACTCATTCATAAGAAAGATATAAATTATAATACATTAATTATCATTTATCGTTCATCAATTATATGCTAAACATCACCCAAAGTATTTCACGTCCATTGTTTTGTGTAATCCTCTGAGCAATTTTACGAAGTGACTGTCATCATCTCCACTAGATGAGAAAATTGGAGC